CATGAAGACTGAAAACATGCTCAGAGATGCCAAAGGGCTAAACCCAGAGTAAGCCTGTCTGAAGTTACTACAACAGCTCTCTGGGCTCAGAAGCCAGCACTCACTGAAGACTAAAAGACACCAGGAACAGATTTGGACTAGATGACCTTTGGAGGTCCCTTCCAGCCCAGACATTCTATCTCTATATCCTCCATAGGTCTTTTGTACTGACCATTGCTGGATGAGGGATTTGGGGCTAGGGAGACCTTTGACCTAGCAGCTGATGTTGATTGATGAATGACATTGGCTTTGACAATAAATAAAAGAGACAAATGACAATGCTGTCACCTGTTGTAGGTAGTTACACAAATTCACATGACTCTTGCAAGTGCTAGAGATGAAAGAGGCATGGCTATAAATGCAGAAAAAGATCTACTGTCTACTCTATACATGCTGTTTGCTCTCACAGTATCCCTCCCACCTCTATGCCTGCAACATTTCAGTTACAATCAGGCAGCATTTAGATATTTTATGGAAAAGTACAGAATCCATTTGTACTGAAATGTGTATATGATGAGTAAGGACATCAAAAATAAAGCTGCACAATAACTGTGGTTAATATTTCAACCTGTCTTTTAGTGATGCAACTCCAATGTCTCAGGTACAGGGGGTTTTCCTACACAATATTTTACATGTACTTTTCACCGATGGAATCTGTCAAGCTAGTCCAGGTAGCACTGCAGAAAATTAGTATTTATCTGTGCTGCAGGACCTGGATCCAATCGTACTAATTACACCTAATCACTACATGCAGTGTTTGGGGACAGACAGGCAAACAAGAAACCAGAAAGCAGAAACAGATGCAAGGCACCAGCAGAGAAGCCCCAGGTCCAGCTTTTGGGATGAGGCCCTGCTGCCTAGCTCTGCAAAGTGCCTGTTTTCCAGACTTGCACAACAGCAAGTCTGTCCCTGCAGGGTAGCCCACAGCAGCTTCTTGGGAGCCGAGCTGTTGTTGAGGCATCACTCAGGTTATGAAGCAAAGAAGGCAAAGCTGAAAAAGGGAGTTCACACCTGCCACACTATTCCTGGGTCCCAGGAACACAAAACAGTAATGGCAGGCAGCAGAGCTAGGGCACAAGGGGAGGCCAAGTGCTGTATGAAATGCTCCAGCGTTCCTCTGTCCAAAACCTCCAGATGGCACTTCAGGTGCAATGCAAAATCCCTGGCAAAGGAGAGTTCGCCTGGAGCTGCCCCTCAAGAAAGGCCACGGGTACTCTTCAAGATCTTCACAACTATCAACATCTCACCTTCCTGCTTTATTTTTTAATGTGTATCCTCAATCCAATTAGCATCCAAGAAACACGGGGAAAAAAATAAAAAATCTGTGCGAGATACATACCATTTGGATATAAAGGAACTATCCTTAGAAGGAGCAGGGCAGCCTTGGGACACTTTGGATTTAGGGTCCTTGTTCACCTGAGGTGGTGAGAGCCTCACAAGCCTCAGCTCAGTGCTGCAAACTTCCCTCACCCTCCTAAAAGCCAAGTTTGTTCTATCTTTAGAAATCAAAAGGTGCAAATTGTTTGTTTACCACGTATCACTTAACAGGTAGTTGGCCTAATACTGCCTTAGTTCCTTCCTTCTACAAGGTCACTTATGAAGTGGTTTTCTTCCTTAAGCCCTTTGAAATTCCGCGCAAGACAAACCAAGATGTATTTCAGTGAGAAAAGACTCTTGATGGGTCACCTAGTCTCTTCCTTTGGCTAATAGAAGGTGTGCCCAGGACTTCAAAAACAAAGTCTAATTTTTAAAAAAAACTAAGCCAACAACAAGACACATTGTTGATGACTTCTGACGTTGGTATTGATTTTTTCCTCTTTTCTCTGTGTTTTGTTTTCAGAGGGAATTTTTTTCTTTTTTTTTTATTATTAGAGTAAATGACATATTTCCAAAAGCTGGAAAAGAGCATCTTTTAGCTGGCAATTGAACTGAGCATTAAATGAAATCTGCAAAGCCATTTTCCCATGCACAATCAAAAGCTGACAGACAGGGAGGCACAAAGTGCATAAAAAAAGCACACAAGCAAGCTGAGGGAGAAAGTGTAGAACAGCCATCTGATTCAGCTCCGAGCCGCTCTTAATGGAATTAGGGTCACCCTGACAGAAACACAGTCAGATCACAGAGAAAATTTAATAATTTCTTCCTGCAGTCTGTAAAAGCCAGGGAGGATTTGAAAGTGTTTTTTGCAAAAGTAGCGCTTTTGCGCCCGCCGTTCAGGCACATGTGCCCCTTCCCGCTCAACCTTCTCCTCCCAGCACCCCACCAGAGCACCCCAAAAGCACCGCTCCCTTTCTGCTCAAGGGAGGCACCCAGTGAGCTCCTCTTCTGCATTTAACCTCTGGATGCCCCTTCAGTTCCCCAGCACTGACATTATTCACAGCTCCTGGGAGCGCAGTCCCAGGAGGGGCGCCGGGGCGCATGCCTGGTGCGAATTCCACTAGGGATACACACTCGGTCTGTTGTATCTGGGCGTTACCACCCAGCTATCTGCCAGCTGCCTAATTGTCAGGGAGCTGCGGCAGCCACGCTGAAAGGTGTTGTGACAACAGCAGCTCCAAACGCAGCCGGGAGGGGTAGGGAAGCCCTGGTTGCGGGTGCTCCCCCAGCACCTGCCCACCAGCCATGGGGCAGTCTGCTGCCAGGGATGCAGCACAAACCACCCCTCCCCAGCTCTCCTGCCCTGCCCTCACTGATCCTATAAAAAGCAATTTCAGGATCTGACTACAGGAATTCCAGGGATTATATCGTGAATCCATGTAAATAAACTTTGGAGCCAATAGGATGCTTAGAGGACTCACAAGAGGGTGGCATACAGGGTGCTCCTTTCACAGCATCCCTCTCCAGCTTCTGCAGTAAGCTCCCGTGTACCTATGCTACCATATCTTCCCCTTGTCCTTCACTGTTGTCCTGAGCTAGGACTCCCCAGTGCCACAGTCACTACTGTATCTTACCCGTCTGCATCACTGACGGCAGGACACGAACCACGCAGGGTCTGCAGACGGCTTTTTCACCCCTGCGCAGGCACAGAGCAGGGCCCTTCACACAGCACCCTGCCACTGACTTGGTGGCAAGATTCAGTGAGGTAAGATAATAGAAAGGCTGTAAATTGCTAAATACATGGAGCAAGACTTTCCATTCCAGGAAAGCCTCCATTCGAGGAAAGCCTCAGTTAATCCATAGTGGCTGTGACAGTTAAAAGGTCATCGTCCTCCAGACCTGCCTTCCAGATTAGGAAAAAGTAATTCAGACTCAGTCTGCGCCAGAGAAAAAGGCATACATACAGATATGCTTCCTTCTCAAAACAGAACTGTTCCACATCTGAGACACCCAGTATTTGCATCTGAGCCTGTGAAACAGAGCCAATTTTGTTAAATTTAAGCGTGTCAAAGTATTCCACAAAATTAGGAAACCACATCTACTGCAAGTTATCTGCAGGCTAAGAACTGTCCTAGGACATCTCAAGCTCCACCAGCTTCTGCATACTTGATGGAGTGATGTTTTGCTCCTTTTCAGGGGCCAGGATAAACACAATGAGCCTTGGGGAATTTTTATACACCTCAGAATATTAACGATACACCTCTCTGTGCCAGACTCCAAAATGGGCTACATTGTGCAGTCATGAAGTGATCTGAATAAACATCTTCCAGAAGCACCAGAAGCCAGGGAAGAAAGCTAAGGAAGGAAAGAACTGCTGCCCCCAGTTCAGCTGGGCAGCTCAGACTCATACAGACTTCATGCTCATCCACTGCCCTGCTCAAGTCATCCCTAGTGACAATAAAAACAGTGAACTTGTATCTTTCTTCACATCCCTCCATTCACTCTTCTCTCCAGCTTCTCTAAATTTACTCCTCCCCATTCAATCAAGAACCTTTAGGACCCCCAATCTATTTTCTTCGTTCAGACAGGCTCCTACCAACATGTATCAAGATCTTCAGCTTCCATAAAGCTACATCCTAATTATAAGCCTGGTTACCTAAGCTGTAAGGAGAAGCAGATGGCTGGTGGCAGCTCAGGAGGCGCATCACGGTTATGTCTCTGCTCTGACTCAAGCATCCCAGGAACCCTGGGTACTTTCAAAGACAGAGTATTCACAACTGCCAGGGTCTACAATGAAAGTGCAGACTTTCAGATGCTGAAAAACTGGTTACTCAAAAAAATCAGGGTAGGGGGATGAAAAAATACTTGGGGACAGAAAAGCAAATACAAATGAGTTATGAAAACCAAGGCTATATGATATATACTGTTTCCTGCACTTTGCTTAACTCATTCAATGGGAAATTCCTACTTGAACGTATTTTCAGTAGTTCACCACCAGCCAAGTTTCCTTCCTCTTGTCTGCCCACAACAGTGCTTTGTGCACAACTTTCTCTTTAGCTTGGATGGGGCTAATCAAAGCCAGTCACAGCAGCACAGTAAGACTCTCAGGACAACAGGCATGGACACAACAGCTTAAAGCATGACCACAAGGAAATGTTTCACTCCAATTCTGCTGAAATATAGGAGAGCTACACCAGGAAGTAAAAAATCTCACATCCTTTTCCCAACAGCTCTCAATCACCTGCTGACTCAAGAAATATGTCTTAATACCACACAAATTATGAATGCTGATAAAAGAACAAGGAAAATAAAGTAACAGGGATTACTGTGACCCAAATACTTCTCTCTTCTTCCACCCTCAATTTTCTTTACTCATCTGTACTTGGTAGAAATCAAATTGTCAGGTTTTGATCTTCCAGCTACTAGAGAGACTTCCTGCACTTGAACAAATAGTCAGCCTTTTTAGTTCTGCTTGTGACCCTTCACATACATACTGTTCACCTGCATTGCACGCATTAGAAAATAAGAGGGGGTGGAGCGGTAGGGGTTTAATCCTCAGTTTCCTACAAACCAAGAATGTTTAATATTTGTTGAAATAAATTTTGCAAGATATTCAAGCTTTCCAAAAACAGAATGTTACTTACTGTCTGCTCCTGCTAAAGGCAGCATGAAGCAGCAGAGGATGGCTGCTGGCACAGTGAGTCCTGGGAGGCAGACGTTAGGCACCATATTCCAAAGCAGAGCAAGTCCCCTCCAGTCTGAGGCAAGTGGGCAGTACATCCAGTGCTACGGACACAGACTCACTCCTGCAAACCAAGAGAAGAAGAAAAGGAATACAGTCAAACGTGACACACATTAAAAGCTGATATGTCAAATTACTTTGTAAAGGCAGTTACAGATACTTTTAAAGGGAAATTTAACTGTCTTTCCTGCTTGAGCAGCAGAGCTCCACATTGATGTCCTCAAATCCAACAAGCTGTTTTCAAGGGTCATGAGGCATAAATGGACACCCATCTCCAAGTTTTATCTTCCTGTCTGGTCTCTATTACAGTCTATTAATACATCCTTTAATTGTTCTTGTTCATAACAAGTAGTTCTGAACTTGCATGTTGCAATACAAGAAATAGTCTTAAGCTCGTGTAACTCATCCTTATCCATCTGCCCAAGAGAGACATGCTTGATTGCATATGTAGGGCTGTTTACAGCCAAATACATTTTAAGCATAGCTTATCCCATCCAGCTGGGCTGCTGTACACCAGACAAGTCTCGACAGGTCCAAGCAGGAGAAACAGAAGCTGAATTTAACTAGCTGTCAGTTCACAGGGCTACCAGAGTCACAGTAGAAGGTTATTAGGTGAAGTATCTATAAACAGACACGTTACCCAAAGCAAACACCTGAGCTTCTATCTTGCAAAAATGGAGAGGACTGTCTAAAAGGATAGGGGACTGGCTATTCCTTCCTCAAAACAATGCACATTATCTTGGAAATTGGCTTAACTTGGGCATCTGCTTGGTTATAGAAACACAGAAAATTCCTTGAAACTCAACCAAAAAAGACAGGTAGTTAAATAGGATGCAACTTTCTGTATACCTATATTCTTCACCTTTTCATGAGAAAAGACTCATTTTACTTTCATCTGAAGGTCCAAAGTCTGCCTGTTAAGACAGATTTTAAAGAGGCTAGCAAGTCCCATTCCCTCAAAGTGAAAATGCTCAGGAGGGACAGAGGCTCACTCTTTCAGTGCTGGGCATCTGAACACAACCTTAAGAGTAATTCAAAAATTGATGAGATACCCCTTTACTAAGCTGCAAGAGTTACCAAAAGCTGGCAACACAACACTAAGAGTGAAAAAAAGTCTCATGCTGGCAGATGCCAGCCCAAGCAGTCCCCGTGAGTGTCCTTGAAGCAAAGAATCTGCAAGTGCACAGGCTGTACGTGGCATGACCCACCATTCTTACTTGTGTTGGCAGACATTGAATAAAAGAGACAAACAACACATTTGAAAAAAAGAAACAAACATGCTCAAGACTGCTCTAAACAAAGGTATTTCTGCATTTTGCTGGGCTTTTGGAAGAGAAAGTGTGCTATTTTTGGTTGTGGGTTTGTTTTGTTGTTTTTCCCTGAGAACCACTGAGCTTTTGATGGAAGTATCACATGCTACAAACATATTTACATCTGACAAAAATGTAGTGCTCAAAGAATGCCAGCAATGACAGTGCTGAGGAATCCACAAGAAATCTCAAGAGAATCTACCTAGGCAAATATTTACATCACATTGTACTAACAAACAGCAGATCATGATTCTTCTCCATTCTGTTACTGTATTTGCACAGTAAATCTTTTCACATGTTATAACATCACACAACACAGAGAAATCTTTATTTATGCAATGTCTTCTACAGCCAAGACATCTGAAAATACTTTACAAAATAACCTAGTTCTAACCTAGACGCAGAGAGAATACTGATCATCTCATCCGGCTTTTATTATCTCAATGAGAAAGCATAAATCCAAGTAAGCACAGCAGCAAGATTTTGAATACTGCAAGAGAAGCTCCTCGTACCAGCAGCACACTTAATTCTCTTTGTTGCTCTCCAGCCTTCATATCCTCATTTATCTCTCACCAAAGAATTACTAAAAGCACTGTTAACAGGTCTTACACTGCAGAGACAGATACAGATAGTTGTATCTTTATACCTGCATAAGCTCTATTCCAGTGGGAAACTCCATTCAGTCCCAAAGCAGTTTCCCCAGTGTTAGCGAGCTCTCCAGATAGGGCCCACACAGGAATGGAAAGAAGTGCTGGGATTAAGAGTGAAGATTATGTCTCTAAATTCTGCTTGTACAGTGCTAATTTGTGCAGTCTGGAGAAGCAAACCCACTGAAGCACACTTTAAGAAGCATTATATCTGGGCTTAACTGCAGCCAGAATCTTAAGAGGCTACTCTTCCTGGAGGAAAAAATCCACACCAAGGGTTGAAATTACTGTGTCAAATTAATGATGTGTGTCAAATTCTCTCAGATTAGGACAGTGAAAAAATTTTACAGGTGGTGCCGAAAATATTTTAGGTATGTATCAGACCAGATTTGGGTTGAAGAGGTTTCCGAGAGCTCTCCCTCTTTCATTCACTCCCACTAACAACAAAAGTGCCTGGTCTAATGGTGTATCTTGAGTGCAGATTGCTCAGAAGTCATGTGAATGGTACCTCCACAGCCCTCAGTCAGAAGCAACTCTGAGGAACGCAAAAACCTCAACTAAAGAACAGATCTCAATCTCTCTCAATTTATTTCTTTCAGCAAATGTGATCAAGCTTCTCTCCAGTTTCAAGCTTGACAGATCTATAACTTTCCTCTCAAGCCCACAAGATACATACTACTTGCATCATGCAAAACTGATGAATTGTCACAGTGACTCTACCAGATGCTTTATAGACTTGATCTTTTTTCAACTGTTTAGTGCTCTATAATAATTTACCATCTGGTAGAAAAGCCAGATTTTCTTATGCAAGACTGCTCTGTCCCTCCAAAGTTAATAGAGCACCTCTGGTCCTTAGCAGGATCAAACTTCAACACTTCCTCTTTCCATAGCTGCTCTGCCTATGGAAAAGTTGTCTGCATTCAATATTTAAAGCCCTTTAAATCGGCATGGTTTAAAATTTTATCAAACACAGTAGCTGTCATTCCCTTTTGAAATTCAAAATAGGGAAAAGCCTCTCCCAGTCATTCAGCTCTCCCCTTTTCAGAAATGAGGTGCCTTCCCCAACATGACAACCCAGTAATCAAGGCAAGGTGACAGGGTGTTAGCTGAAGCTCAAGTTAACCCTTTGAAGGGCAGTGTTACTCTGACAGCTTTAAACAGCTGTCCTGAAACAATGAACCAATGCTAAAGCTTTTCCTTCCTGGGGTAGAAAGGCAGTCTAAGACAGAAAGTAGCTACAAACCAGAAAATGTTGGTAAATTTTGGTAATGAGCTAAAACATATACAGAGTCAGTATTGCTTTGGTAAAATCCAAGTCCAACAGCAACAAACCAAATAATGCTCTTAAGACTCTCAGTGTGTCTTCAACCCCAACAACCTCGTGCCTCTTCAGGCTGCTGGAATTATCTCCTGTGCACCAGATGACCTCAAGTCCCTTCATTTGAAGGCCTCCTTTAATCTCACTGCTTTGGCTAGCATCTTACAACTAGTATTGCATTTGGGAGCCCAAGACACGGTAGAAGGTTTTTCAAAAACACACATACATTTTCATTACCACTTCTACATCTGGTCCTGGCAATATTATAAACTCCAGACCATGTAACCCAAAAGGAGGCTGAGGCTAAGCACTCCAGATGGCTTTGTAAAAACAGCTTTGAGTTCAGCAAGCACAACTCCTGCCTCTGTGCCAAACTCAATGTTAGAACTACTAGTTTGGCAGAAAATTAGAAAGCAGGGAAGCACAACCAAAAAATAGCAAACTTCATTTAAAAATAGCTGATTCTGCCATGGGGCAGGTGGATGGAAAAGAGGCAGTCTTGAGAACATTTTTGAAACCTACATGGTTCGATTCTTTCAGACAAGCAGAAAAAGCTGGACTCATTCAAAACAGAGCCAAGAATACCAACAGCTCATACGGTACTAGGAAATTCTGGCAATAAGCATGTCCCACAGGAGATGGCAAAGAGATTAGAAAAGGCAGTCAACTTTAAAGAGTGAAGAGGAATTTCAAACCAGCACTGAATAGTTCATGTCCTCTATGAACTCTTCCGGAAGCTAAACTGAAGCAAGTGTCACGTGGGTCACTTGCCATGAATAGCATAGTGAAGAGCAGCATCCCCAGCATAATCCTGCCCTTCCCAAACCAGGGACAAAAATATTGTACTAAAATCACTTTCTAAGTTTAAGCTACTTTGCATCTCAAAGTATCTAACAAGTCAGCATAAAAATGTTCCCTCCAGGAACCCCCGTGGTATGTCCACAGAACTGCCAGGTTCAGTTGTGTGTGTGATTACTGACACTGCATTTGCTGCGAAACACGGTTAAGAGACTCTCTAGAAACTTAGAGAGCAGGAAGATAAACCCAGCACACGAGCAACGAATGTCCTTATCTGACCTGGAGACGTAACTATCTTTTCACAAAGGAACCTGAAACAATTGTGTTTGCTTTTCAAGATGGAAACTTATGAAACATTCTCAACAAGAGCCCCAGGATGCGGAAGAGAAGATACCACCTGGATGCCACCCAGGCAACAAGGGGCTAAAACTGCATTAGCTTCTCCCAACTCTACTGCATGTGCAACACATAACCAAAACAAATTTTTCTTCTGGACACCTGTCCCCAACTTTCTATTTCATACAAATACCCTGAAAGGAACTGGTGCTCCACAGGAACCCCAGTACTTTGAGGTGTCACACAAAGGATGGTAATTAAGAACTGACAGAGCAAGAAGGGGGCATGTGCCACACAGAGAAATGAGGCAGCTATTTATTCTATTAAAAAATAGGAAAAATAACTGGCGTCAGCTCAGCTGCTTCATTCTGTATATAGCACTTCATCTGTGTTCTGAAGGAGGAAGGGGAAAACCATGATGCACCATATAATTCAAGACCATCATATCGCACACATTAAAAGTTGCAGAAGCAGTTACACACAAGTTAATGACTTTTGAATGTTTCACTCCACTACATTAGTATTCCTTTAGCATAGATTTCTTTGTGCTTTTCTGTTAGAAATATAATATAAAGAGACTTAGGGAGTACAGCAATATGGCCAAAAAAGACAAAATGAGTCTCATTTCACTCCAAACTCCCACATGCAGGGAATG